ATATACATATATACACATATATATCGTTATTAATTTATATTATTGATTCTAATGTGTTACTGAATTATTAAATAGAAGTAATTCAATATATAAAATTAAACAGAATTATCATACGTAATTATATATATATATATATAACAATATAGATAATATAATTAATGTAATTCAATATGATCAGTATGAAAACGGTTTGTAATTTGCGTTTAACATAAATTTAATGTACCACATAATTATAACCCATCTAGAAATTATTGGCCGAATTGACGTGATTTTGATTAATGTTATCAACATCGATCAACGATGATTCGACTAATTAATTATTTAAGTCTAGCTGAGTACACAAAGTATATGCTAAGTAAGCTATAAAATATTTTAAGAAGTGATTCGTCACACAAATTCGAGACGAAAACTTCATATGATTATATGTCTCGAATAGCTTATAATTTTAAAGATACAAGGTGACAAAAATTTCACGTTTTTTTCAAAAATTTCGAAAACAATTTGAGCTATTTTGATAAAACTAAGAGGTAACCCACTGATCAAAATTATATATACACTAATACCTACTAATGCCCAAATAATGGCCATTAATATTCTATAAGCTCATTAATGCCCTAGTAATGCTCTACAATACCAGTAATGTATAATTTCATACCGCTTATTGTATATAATAGAGGAAGATAGATCACCGATACCGACATACCACTTTGTTTTTAGACAATATTTCTTAAACAAAAGGTAAAAATACAACTTCAAAAACATAAATACAAAGTAAAAAGTGTCTTCTATATTCAGATAGTATAAGCAATTTTTGTAATAATGTTTGCAATTTTTCAATAATTAAGTTTTTCGTAAGTTATGCAAAAATGAGCGTCTGACAAAATGGGCTCCAAAATTGACAGTAGGCAGTAATGCTACGTATTCCTATTCTTTTTCTTTTACAGGAATTATCTGCATAAGGTACCTATAAGTGAATGTATATAAGATTTTTCAAAATCATTTTACGTTATAAAACATTTTTATTGAATTATCTGCATATTTAATTTATGCTGTACTGCAAGATACAAATATGTAACGCGATAGTTTTTCTAGAGTTGTTCCATATATGCATGATTGCCTTCAGCTCCAATAGACTTATTTGACACTATAAAGCAACATTATAAAGATTAAGTTAGCTCATGGTCTGTTTTACGGACAGGTGTGTCGGTTTACGCTGCACCCCAATTTTAAATTAAAAATCGTATTATGAAAAGACTAAGAGAAAAAATAATATAAATAAAATTTATTTCGGAAACTACAAGTATTTAAAATGACGTAATATTATCAATAATATAGTCACTATTATTTAAACCTCACAATTTGCAAAAGAAAATCGTAAGAATTTTATTTTCATATTTGTAGAATTCGTTTTTAACTGATTTGATGTAGAAACAAGCCACAAACCTACGAATTATGAGTTTGTACTTCTTTAATCAGCTAAACAGATCATGATTTTATTAGTATTAATAAAGTGCAATAGTTAGTTTCCAAAAAACAAGGGGGTGTCACTTTAGGAGACCTATGTCAGTATCGGCGACTTTACTCTATATAATTTTCTTAAATAATGTCCATGCAGTAATTAATGCTCCAACAAATCATACATCGTAGTGCCCTCATCAGCGGTTTATCCCTTAAATGACTTTAATAATTGTAGCATATACATACATTGAAATTTCGTCAAAATAATTCGAATGGTTTTTTCAAAATTTTTAGAAAAAATAAAATTTTTCCTTTAACATCTTGTATCTTTGATATTATGCCATTTTGGATACATAGTTATATCAAGTTTTCGTCTTGAATTTTTGTGAGGAATACCATCTCTTAAAATCTTTTAGTATTCATCCTGCATATGTTTATATTTAATAAAAAATCCGAATGCAACCATAATTTGAGACACAAATATTCCCTTAATTCAAACAACTTTCAATAATTTCTAGGTAAATCGAATATATAATTAACGCAAACAGAGCTCCATTTTTATGCAAGAACAAGCTGCAGTGTTCGATCAACAGTGTGCGCAATGATGCTTACTTTGAAAAACTGAGACTAGCGATACTATAAAAGAAATTGCGGATAGCTTGACCGAGAATTTTACTTACCACTCCATGTATGTACGTACATACACAACTGAAATAATTTGTGACTATGGTGGGTTTCTTCTATTATATTTGTGTCATTGTATTAAAAATTGTAACAATCTTTGTTGAAGATAAATTCACAACCTCCTTTTCGTTATTGTGCCGTGCGCCGCTGACGCCACGTAGACTTCCTTCCAATTTCTGCCACCAAGCGACGCTAGAAACGCGCAGCTGCCTAACCTAACCTCAAAGTCGCGGTGACGTATGCGAGACGCGGTGCGACAGTGACGGGTGATTACTGTAGATGCTGACTCGTTTGATTTTCGCCAGGTCACGTCTCATCGAACGCGTAAACAATTTTTCATTTTTCGACTGCTAACATCGCTTCTTATACGTTTTCTCTGAAAGATGAGTTCTATAGGCACAGGAGTGAGTATTTCCGCACATTGTTCAATACACGATCGCAAAATGTCACGTTAATACGGTTGACATTCAAAATCCTAACCTCACTTTCATTCCAGTACGACTTGTCCGCCTCGCAATTTTCGCCGGACGGACGTGTATTTCAAGTGGAATACGCGCATAAAGCCGTAGAAAATGGAGGGTGAGTTTCTTCTCGTCTTGTTCCTCATGAATTCTTATATAAACATCGATTGGAGTAATATTTGCACACAATAATGTCCTACTGAAAATCAATGCGATATGTGGAATATCTAAAATATTAATAAGGAAGAATACATGCACGTATGCCTACACTTCATTTATAGGCAGTATTCATAGTCCGTTAGTATCAAGATCGTCTTAAGTAATATCTTACGATGCTAATACACAGCCCTCTGATTGGCTTATGACATCTTAAGACTATATTTAAGACGGTTTTAAATATAAAATTTAGCTATAAATATCAACCTATATATATGTGATGCTTTGTTGTAGGACAGTTATTGGTTTACGAGGGAAGGATGGCATAGTATTTGCTATCGAAAAGATAGTAACGTCGAAGCTCTATGAACCGGGTGCTAATAAACGAATATTTAACATAGATCAACACGTTGGTATGGCAGTCTCTGGTATAATATCGGATGCGAGACAGATCGCAGAGACTGCAAGATCAGAGGCTGCTAGTTACAGGGCACAGTACGGAGTCGGTATTCCATTAAAGTATTTAAACGAAAGAGTTTCTATGTATATGCATGCATATACCTTGTATTCTGCTGTACGTCCGTATGGTTGCTCTGTCCTGCTCAGTGCTTATGAGACAGATGGTCCAATATTGTATATGATTGATCCATCAGGAGTATCGTATGGTTATTATGGCTGTGCAGTGGGTAAGTGAAGTCTGTTGTAAAAAAAAGATGGAACATAGACTGTATTCAAAGTTAGTTCTTATATTTAAGACTTAAGTACAATCTTAAGATGTTATAAACCAATCACAAAGCGGTATTAACATTACAAGATGTTACTTAAAATGATCTTGAAATAAAAGTGGACTATGAATACTGACCATACAGACGGAAATTGATGTTTTGTGATCATATTATCCATAGGTAAAGCAAAACAGTCAGCTAAGACGGAAATTGAAAAATTGAAATTATCAGAAATGACTTGTAAAGATTTAGTTAAAGAAGCTGCTCGTATTATCTATCTTGTCCACGATGAACTTAAGGATAAACAATTCGAATTGGAAATGAGTTGGGTTGGTGCACATACTAAAGGAATTCATCAACGTGTGCCGGCAGATTTAAAAACTGAAGCCGAAACAAAGGCACGACAGGCAATGGCAGAAGATTCGGACAGTGATACCGAAGATATGTAAAATGATATATAAATACTGCCGTGAAAATTCTTTATATTGTAAGCGATAATATTAAATATAACATTAATACACACGAATATATGCATTGATTAATGTTTTTAAATAATTGAAACAAGTAAAGAATATAATTATGATGCTATAAATTTCTAAAGAGCTATGGCTTCTTTTAATCTTGTTATAATTTTTGATAAAAAGGGATTTATCTTTTATAGCGTTTTTTCTTGGCTGCACTATCGCCCACTAGTGCAACACTCGGACAGTGTACTGTATTTCTGTGGCTATGGTGTACTGCAAATTTTATACATGGAGTAGGATTTTGCTACGCCGTCTCGGGACGGTATAGTGCCAATGTGACATTTGAAAATGGAAGTCAAGTGGGAACAGGATTTTAACGCAATAATGAAGTGATGTACACCATGGTGTGCACCACTCTAGTGCAGTGTAGCTGAGTGTAGTGCTTACACACAACTGATGTCGTGCAAGGCCAGTGTATTCCAAGGAAAAACGCTATTATTTAACGTTCACTTTAGAGAATTAGACTTATTTTAAAGTTTATTTTTAAATGTAGAATGAAATATGCATTTCCAAAACTGATTATCATTCATCTAATAATTCTAATCTTTAAATCTCCAATCATCCTCTTAAAAAACTGAGGCATACATTGATCGAGAATTCGCAGACAATGAATCGACTCTTAAGCTATGCACTAATCTCGTTTTAAAGCTTATTTGTTAATCTCGAAGTTTCTGCTTCCAAACATACTGCAATTTGCTTATTTTCCGTTAATCTTAGAATCATAAACTATCGTAAATTTAGTGCGTGTTTATAGTTTATGATTCTAGAGTTAACTTCAGAATTAAGTTTATGTTTCAGGTACTTTGTTATGCAAGATGTTTTTCTACAAAATTTAGTATCATAATACACGTAGTAAATTTGATTAAATTAAATTTAAATATTTCACTTGACCGGCGACTAGCAATCTGAGTTGTTTAATATCTCCCTTTACATATAAAAATTATTTAACGCTTAGTAAATGATAATATATATTTAATTTATTATAATAATATTATATATATATATATATATATAATGATAATATAATATAATATATATTATTATCATTAATATACATATATGATCAATATACTACTCTTGTGACTACTACATTTACTACTACTACATCTACTACATTGCACCTTCTTTTTCTTAATATCTTATCTGATATTTCCTATATTGTTGATAACATGAATATTAAAGAATTTTTTAAAGATTTTAAATATATTGCTACTTAAATGCTACACTTTAAAAAATATATTCTCTTTTTATTATAATAATGACATTAAAAACTTAATTTAATAATACATTATTTTACTTAATTCTTTAATCAGTTGCGGAATATTTTCAAAGGAATCAAAATGATTATTACATAAGGTCTTTGTTGATAACATGAATCATTTTCGCAACTGCCTTTTTAATCTTCGATGTAGACTGAAATATACTTATGTACAAATCAGCTTACTGTTTCGATAAAAAGCACGATCGTTTACGTAACGAACACGTTGCGATATTTCGTTAAAAAAAACCGATAATTAGGATAAAACACGAATTTGTATGCGAGATTTTGTTCTTTCATGTATGACTGATGTAATTTAATCAAAGATTTTGCAAAAATTGCAACAATCTTTATCATCGTGATACGATTAACAAATGTAATCTCTTTATAACAATGGTTAAGCTAGTATAATGGATAACGACATTTTTTCCCTCTTCCTCCGGATCGCCACTTGTTTAAAAATGTTTTTTTTCTATTTGAGACAATTATTTATTAACGAGAACTTAATTAAGCATCTAAATTTTATTGAAACTTTTGTTATAAAAAAATCTTTTAAAATTGAATCGATTTTGAAGTGAGAAATGATTTTAATCGATCCCGAATTTATTTGTTTTTTTATTTCTTATTTGTTGTATTAAAAGATTATTGGGCATTATTGATACTAATTCCATATATTACATACATAAGTCTTTTAACTGTTCTTTAAGACTTTAATTTTTTATAAAAAAGGGAGAGGGATGAAAGATGTATCTTATGATATGTCGATGAATTGCCAAATAAATTTACACACGCGGAGAATCAAAGAACGTCGCGTTCTTCCAGAAAATAACTATTATTTTGCAAAATGTCGTGTCTTGTAACTCGAGCAAGATAGGTAGAATTTCATCTGCACGAAGACGCGCAATTGTCTGCACAATGACTACGTTACTACACAATGGTGATGATATCAAGTTAAATTGTATACGTAAACACAAACGGAAAAATATATTCCGTAGATAACGTAGACTTTGGATCTTTGATCAAAATCAAAATTCTTTCCAGCCGATTGACATGTATAAAAGATTACAGGCTTTACTGATGTTAGACTTTAAATTCAGTTTTAATCTTTGTTTCTTTCCAGTTCTACAATTTAATTTTAATCTTGATCCAACTAACTAAAATTGTAGATACATCTATAATTAGCTAATTTCGCTTAACTTAGGTAATTAAATTGTGTAAATATTAGTTAAATTAACGTAAATATAATTAAAGTAATGTTAACATAAACTAATCTAATTACTCTGATGGTAACTAGATGTTATTTCTCCAACATCAGTTAAAATTAAAAGGCGATGAGATACGAATTAAAACTTTTAAACTGTTAAAGTTCAAGAATCGGTTTCGAGAATTGTGAACATTGACAAAATCGCATCAAAGTAAATCCTACAAATTATCAAAAAACAGCGTGTTGGAACGTATAGTAAGTATATGGGCGGCGACTCCAGTATGGTTGATACTCCATACACTGAATGATTCAATGTATGGAATTCCATACACTGAATTTCATATCTGTATGATATTTGGTCAGGGAGAAATTTAGAAATTAGAAATTGTAATTTAGAAATTACAAACATACGAAAAATGTCATTGCATTGCTTGAAGGATGTAGTGCAATTTTTACATGACAATCCCGAGATCAGAGATCTTGTACCAGAATACGTAAAATTTATTCGCGTTCTTTTAATTATTCCTACATCAACCTGTTCGAAATAGAAACGTTTAAATCATATTGCGACATTGTACATTTATCGAGAAATTTATCGATAGTATTTAAATATGGAGGAGCTC